ATATTATAAACAATATAAATAATATAACTATATCATATATAAATATGATATATAACGAGGCGTGGAAACGAAGAAATCAATCAAGTGCGATCGCTCCTAAAATCGCGGGTTACTTTCAATATATTATCATAGTATATATATCATAATATATATCATAATATATTATCATTTACTATATTATCATAGTTATATCTCACTTACCGATTTTGATTCGTCGCGACGCTGCATCGTTTCCGGGTAGGTTTATCGATAATCCGAAGATGATCAAAATGGTGAATAGATTTTGACCCATGTTAGGACGATTGAAGGTACCTGAAAACAAACGAATTGTTAAACTTCACTTCGATAGTAGTTTCATTTAAGCCGTTCACTTTTACAGAAATTGTATATGTGATTCATTCCTGAAAAATGCGTTCCATTCTTTATTGAATAGGTACCACGTGTTTCGCGTGTTACACACACTTCTAGCGATCATTTTGCTTATCATGCGTGATATATTATTGGTCGACAGCTAAAAAGGAGTGCGAGTCGGGTTATCGTTCTTTCGTAAACTAGCCGGGCGGAATTTCGCAAATGTGATGGGCTTCGAGTGTATAAATAGAATACTGTATTATGTTTCATTTTAAGAAATTGGAGGTAGGCGGATACCCGAGATTTCGGGTTTCAATCGGGTCAGATACTTTTTTTTCGGGTTCGGGCCGAAATTTATGTTAACACTTGGAAAAGGGATATTCATGTGGTCATTCGAAGTAACGCAATCCGCCGCTTGTTTACGAGTTATTAACGAAAAACAGTGACCAATGAGAGACGATCTCGGCTGGCGCAAAGCGATCGAGCCAACGAGCAGACGAAGCGCACTTCCGCTCATTGGCTTGGCTGCCTCCCGCCAACTGATCTCGCCTATCATTGGTCGCTGTCTTTTGTTAACCCTTTGCACTCGTGCGGTGATTCTCAATCACCATTGGATTTAATGCGGCAACTCGAGATGCGATTCTCCGTTGCCATTTGAATTGACGCGGTGAATCGAGCAGCGACGATGTTTATTTGGGTTTGCTTTCTTCTGGACCCGAAGCATGATCTGGCATTATCGTTTGAGAAGATGCATTTTTAAGCTCTTTGTGTATAATCATATGAAGTGTCGAATCAATCCCTTTGAAATTGCTCGAAGATCTAATCTCAAATTAGTTCGTGATCGCGGTTCGGACTCCGTATTCGGCGTTAGTTCGAAGTTGACAGTCGTGGCAATAGGAATATTAGTCTTGTTGAAATTTTAGCCTCGAACAAAAATTAATCTATAGTTTACTTAGTAAGATATCTTCAGTTAAGATATCGGTTTACATTTCGCCGGCTCCGTCAGCGGGCAGCGACGGTGATGTAAACTGTATACAGGGTGTCCCACAATTATTTTAACAGCCGAAAATGAGGGGTAGCTGAGGTCATTTGAAGTAACTTTTTCCTTTGCGAAAATGCAATCCGCGGCTTTGTTTACGAGTTATTAACGAAAAACACTGGCCAATGAGAGGTGACGGTGCGAGAGAGAGGATCCGCGAGAGAGTCCGCAGCACGAGGCTTTGACAGAAGGTCGGGACGGACTCGAGCCGCGTTCGAAGTATTGAACAAGTCACGAAGCGAGAACTTTCCGGATTTTTTTAACTACATAACAGTGATATTTTTAAAAAAAACGCTGTTCACCTTTACTTTAGAACGTCTGAAGAATATTCACTAATTTTCCGGACTCGAAATAATATGTAGTTTAACCGTGACAGTCGTTTTAATTTTCTGGTGTGCATAACACCTTATGTGTACCATAATCACGTATACAATGTGAAACGCGACAAATAAAACGTCTCTGATTGGTGGA